CGAGTTGAAAGTGTAATTTGTAAGCTGGATACTCATGTAATGTATGAACAAAATCACCCACGTATGTCTGTGACCACCTATGACTAGACAAATCCGCTGCAGGAGGAGTTCAGTTTTTATCTGAGTTTGCGAACGTTGTCCATCGTTACAGTTTAGCAGTTGTATTACACACCCTGCAAAAATCGCGATCACACTATTAAGAGGGTGTTATTGTTGGGGTGATGATGGGGCGCTTCTCGAGTGTGACCAGTCTGTGCGTACCCGCGCTCCCGTACAACCCGATCTCAGAAAATGACATTTAACTAAGCTACTCGAGGAAAGAACGTGTTCCTTTCGTTTTAATATGAATTTCATGTCGAGGGTCCTCGTAGACGGTAATAGTCACTACTTACAGCGAAGACTGACCATTCCATCATAACGCGAGTTGACGATATTCGATTATTTCAAACGTGCAAGGTCGTAATTTCGCGGACGTAAAAGCCCCATACTGTTATTTCGGGCCTCTTTTTGGGACTGTAGCCATCGTGGTTAAATCCGACAGTCATTCTCTTAACGTGCCCCTAACCCTATCGAGAATTTTAGCCGAAATAGCAGCAAAAAGGACCAGGATTCTTACCCAAAAGTCTCACCTAAAATTCTGTCCATTGTAATCTGTTTTGATCAAGGAAATTGACAAATCGTGCGACTTATTTAAAATTTGTTGCTCTTTAGGCGGTAGATTAAACTGACCTGTTTAGGTTCTGATCTAGAACAGGATATTTTGCATCCTTGTCCACCTCTTCTGCCTTTATCTGTTCCTTCATCCTGGCATGATCTCCCAGGATTGCTTTCTCCCAATTCACTTCCCTACCATATTGGCCTTAAATCACCATCACCGCGCTTCAAGTACCCACTACCCACCCTGTGTCCATGCGGGGAACAGGGACCTCTGTGCCCCGAGCTTGGGTTGCCCCACCGTATTGATGTGCTTATTCGCTTACTGACGTCTGTTGCAGGTTTTGATGCTGACGCTGAAGAATGATCCGCCGGACATAGATGTCGTGGCAACGGTCAGCAATCAGTACGTAAACTATGGTCACAAATTCCGAAAGTTCACAAGGGCCTGTTTGATCAAGGATCCCGCCCAACGACCCGTCGCCAGGGATCTCCTAAACCACACATTCGTCAAAGCGAAGGCAAAGGTATGTCTTTTTACCCCTTAAGGAGTTGTTGCGAGGATCCCAACATTAATGCCTTCCCCACTCCAGCATGTCTAGTTTAATCTAAACAGTGGCCCCCGGCCTCTCATGCGAGTTGAGGCCATTAAGATTTTCAGCGCTTATATCCATGTAAGCAAGTTTGGCAAACTTATGTTTTCGATTTTTCTTCACGAGGCATTTACACCAATCTAAAGGAGGGTAGAGTATGTCTCGCCGTCGTCGCTCTTACGCGACGTACTAGGTGTGACCAGTAAAGGTGAACTGCCTGGTGGCGCCCTTGTGCAAATTTACATAGCAAACTAGGCGTACGTATGTGCGCTCTCACAAGGTAACCACCGAAGAAATTAATGCGCAAACTTCAGGGCAGACCTTTTCAGCTTCGGTCTTATCGGTGAAACATTCGCGTGTAGTCTTTTGGCTAGACCTGTACTGTATCAGTATGGTAAATCATAACCTAGGTCACCGCCAGGTCACTGTAGGCTTAAAGGGAATTTTCCTTCTGTTGTCCCTGACAAGTAAGTTAAATAATAAGCTTAGCAATGAGTTAGCCTAGTGCCGGGGTCGGCACCCTATGGCTCACGAGCCATATACGGCTCTTTTGATGATTGCGTATGGCTCTCTCAGAAACTTCAGATGGTGTTATTTTGGTTACTCTTTAGGGGTCTAAGTACTGGGTTGTACTGGGATCAGTACAATCATCAGGCAAAATCCCAGATTGGAAGTTCAACGACAGAAGTCACCAGAAGGAGTGATTTATTACGTAGCGAACTCCCAATTGTTGTCCCAGGTGGCTGGCTGGCTGGCTAGTAGCCCTTGTTGGATCAGGAGCCCC